GAGGGCACTCACTCTCTCCGTCTCAGTTTCCTCATCCACTCCACAAACCTCACTACAGTACTTAGCCCATGGGACCATTGTGAAGATTAGGTAAATAACACAACAACAATGCTTAGAACATCTGGCCACAGAGTAAGTTTCTTTCTTTTCTTTTCTTTTCTTTTCTTTTCTTTTCTTTTCTTTTCTTTTCTTTTCTTTTCTTTTCTTTCTTTTTTTAAGGCCAGGATCTTGCTATGTAGTCCAAGCTGACCTTGAACTCACTGTGTAGCCCAGGCTGGTCTCCAGTTCATGGTGATCCTCCTGCCCCAGCCTCCCACGTGCTATTATTACAGGCATGCACCACCACGCCTGGCTTGTAAGCTCTTGAACTAGTGGTCAGGGCTGGGGTGCATTTATTTAACCCCTAAGTGACATTTCATGGTATTGGTATTGGTATTGGTGTGTGATTCTAGCTCTGTGATTTCCCCTTGGTTCTTTCACGTGACTTTCATTTCTTTAATGAGGCTTTCTCTCTTTCCCTTTGCTTGGAGAGAATTCCTTGCTGAAGCGCTAAGAATTACTTGAAAGTCCTTTCAGAGAATCCCAGCGTTCGCGCATGGTCACACTGCTTGTGGCCTGTGTTGTGGCTGCTCTCTGATTGTGGCTCATCTGGCTGTTGAGATTCTGACAAGTTTGTGTGGCCTCTGGACATGTGGGTTGTGCTGCCTGGGGACTCCTGATGATGTTCCAGTCCAGTGTCTTCAACAAGGACTCCTGGGCCGGGGAGATGGCTCAGTAGAATAAGCACTTCCCTGGCAAGGGCAAGGGCCTGAGTTCTATCCCAGATTCTGCCAAAAACAAAAACAAAAAAACAGGAGCTGGTACCCTACTTGGGCTGAGTCCTGGGCTGTGTGCAGCCCCTTGGTGGCAGCTTAGCCTTAGTCCTGTCCTGCTGTGCTGTGGCGTCCCCTTCCAGTCTCGCTGGGACTTTCTGTCGATTACTGCCTGTGCCCACACAGGGCCTGAACTGGCTTCTCTGGCTGGGTTGGGGCAGCTGAGCCCCAACTGAGCCCTGAGCCTGGGTGTTCTTGTGCCTCTGGGGGACCCGGGTTCTGCTAACATCTCCCAGGACAGCACAGGCGTAGTGTAGGTGGAACCTGGCCAGCACAGTTGTCCTGCCCCCCATGGGCCAGCTGCTGCTTGGGGGGGCACTGAAGCAGCTGAGGGTGCCCACTGTCAGCAGGGCCAAGGCCAGGGTGCCCTCCAGGTTGCTGTCAGCCCCTCCCTTCCCAAAGAAGCAGTCTCCTTCCCAGCAAGAGAGACAGGGCTGCCAAGCAGGCAGCGAAAGCGCCTGATCCAGGAAGCCTCTGGTCCTGAGGATGAGACCAAACTCCTCTCCCCAAGAAGAGCCACATCCCCAAGGCCAGCAGGGAGCCCCTCATTCCCTCGGGTGGCACCAGCAGGAACAGATCAGCTCACCGTGGAATTAAGCTTTTGAAAACCAAAAGCAGAGAGACAACCCCTTGGTAGCAGCTGGAGAGATGACACGTGACCTCTGACAGTCACGTGACACCACTTTTCATGGAAACTCCTGTGAAGGCCCAAACAAAAGGCACTGTGATCTTGGGGGGCTGGGAGAGGAGAACTGTGGACCGCTCCACATACTAGTCATGTCTGAAGGAGATGTACAGGCTTCCTCAGGGCGAGGGAGACATGAGGAATCAGTCTGTGGCTGGCTCACCTTAAAGTCAGCTAAAGGAAGCCCTTTAGAGAAATGGGGTGCCCAGGAGGAGGGACCCACGCGAAGGGTGACAGGCAGAAGTCCGGGAACACACAGGGCGGTCCTGCTTCTGCTTGAGCTCTGTGTGTCATATCTTAAACATTTTATTTTATTTTATTTTATTTTTTTGTGGCCAGCTCAGCCCACCCTGGGGGCGGGGCTGGTGTGCCACGTGGGCCCGGGGATCAAACTGCGGTCCTTGCCTAGGCTTGTCTAAGCAGGCACTTTAGACTGCTGAGCTATCCTGCTGGCCCCATCTGTGTGTCATGTCTGATGGCAGAATCAAAAACTGTAGCAGGTGGCACTTGGCGCGAGGAAGGGGAAGGACCCATGGGGAATATGTCCACACCTCCGATGGCAGGTAGGTCACATGTGAGCGCTATGACACTCAGACCACCACTGAAGCAAATGGGCCGAGATCTCCCCAAAAGTACTCTAGCGAGGGGCGAACTGGGGAGAGTGTGTGGCTGGCCCGGGGGTGGCCCTGGCTTCAGCCCCAGCGACAGAGAGCAAAACACAGATGTGACAGTGGCATCCTAGAACACCCTGGTAGTAACTCTCAGGAACAGAAGAAAACAGAGACAGCAGAATGACACACTCAACAAAGCAGATAGAGAACCAATACCAGAGCCAAGGAGCCACAGTGACCAAGACAAATGGCCTGCAGATGCCAACCCAAAGCTTAGATGGGCAGAGCAGACTCAAGAAAAGCTGCCTCGAGAACACACAGCTGACCAGAAACCCATCTCAAGCCCCGCAACAGAGACAGATTGAAAGTAAAAGAAAGAAGAAGATGCATGTTAGGAAAACGTGGCTCTGATGAGGAGTGGCCGTGCCCAGGTGGAATGAAGTGGACTTCGAGCTGCACACAGAGAGGACGTCACACAGTGCCCGAAGAGCAGTCACCACCCTGAGCGTGCGCACACTGATGAACTCGCTGCTCTTTCACTCAAAGTTACAGTCTTGATTCAAGGGCTGGGGTCACTCCGGCAGTTCTCACCACTGTCCCCTATGTGCTGGGGATCCCCAAGCCCAGCCCCACTTTTGGCGCCTGCACGACTCCCAGGGCTTGGCATATACTTGTGCTCTGCAGGCCCAGGAGCTGCCTGGGCCTCTGGGTAGAGCAAATCACAGGCTGCAGGAAGGGAAGCGGTGGCCGGCACAGACCCTGCGCCCTGTGCAGCGGCGGCACTGAGAGCTGCCCAGGGCCCTAGATAGCAGCCAGGTCCCCGCAGAGTCCTTCCAAGGACGGGGCCATGGGCCGTAGAGCCGTGTCACACACAGTCGGATCACCCGGTGAGTAAACTGGACAACACTGACTCCCTCTCCTAAGTGGGCGAATTGCAGGGCATAGGATTATTTCTCAAGGGGATTGCTTTAAAAAAAAAATTCCAGTGAGATTTCTCTCTAAACATAGAAAAGCTTGTTCTAAAAGATACGTGGAAAGGCAAATTGTGCACACAGTCACAACAAAGAGGGACGAAATGGGTAGAAATGCCTCGGCTGGTATTACGGTCCGCTGCAGAACTGTAGTCATCAGGACTGGAGTATGGTGGCCCTGTAGACATGCAGATCGGCAGGTCAGAGTAGAGAATCTGGAAGTAGACCCGGTCCGGTAAGCTCCATGGATTTTTGACAGATCTGAGAATAATCCTATGCAAAGAGGTAGCTTTTCAACCGACAATGCCAGACACTACACAGGAGGTAACTGCATTGAACATCAACATAAATTTTGCACCTTCTGTGAAAATTAACTTGAAATGGCTGGCCCGGTGTGCACACCTGTAACCCCAACTACTCCGGAGGCTGAAGCAGGAGGCTTGCAAGCGGGGGCCCAGCCAGGGCAACAGAGCGAGACCCTGGCACAGAAAACAACAAAAAGCGTCGGGGACGTAGTTCAGCATTAGAGGACTCACCAGCATGCACAAGGCCCACGTGCAATCCCTGGTACCATTTTTTGAAAATTCAATATGGGCCACAGACTTAAATTTTAAAAATATAAGAATAAAAGCAGATGCGGTGACCTGTATCCGTAATTCCAGCTACTCAGCTGGGGCAGGAAGATCGTCGGAGTAGAGAACTTGATCAGCCTGAGCAACATAGCAAGACCTCATCTCAAAAACAAAGCAAAATTTAATCAAATAGGAGTAATAACCTTTAAAAAAAAAATGGATGAAATCATTGGGAACCAGGGATAGGCAGACAGTTTCTAAACTTAACCACCAAGAACATACTCTACTAAAAGAATGAAGTCAGACTTCATCAAAATAAATCTTTCTGTTCAGGGAAAGCCCATGGGAAGAGGCGAAAGTACAAGACGCAAACTGCACGAAAATACTTGCAAACCACGCGGCGGGCAAAGGACTGGAATCTAAAATACAGAAAGAATGCTCCAAGTACAGCAAGAGCTGACCCAGTTAGCAAGCGGGCCAAGACGTGGCCAGACCTCTCCCGAAAGAGGGCCAGCAAGCGGCAGGAAGAGTGAGCCGCTCACTCATGGCTGGTCGAGGTAGAATTCCAACTGAAACAACACCGCCTATCAGAGTAGGGACAGCGAAAGTCACGATGCCACCAAAAGCAGGCGAGGATGGAGAAATTGGATCATCCCCACATTATTGGTGGGGGTGGAAAATGGCCCAGCGGGACAGTTTCTCAGAAAACCAAACATTTAGTTTCCATCTAAGCCAACAACTGCACTTTGGGGCATTCATCCCAGAGAAAAGAACACCCATGTGTACATGTGCATGGCAGCTTGATTTGTAGCAGCCAAAACCTGGAATCATCGCGGGTGTCCTTCAGCTGGTAACTGGCTGAACAAACTGGTGTAGCCACCCCGTGGAGTACTACTCGACAACGAAGAGGAGCACACTATCGATACACATAGCCTGGGTGACTCTCCAGGGGATTCCACTAAGTGAGAACCACACCAGCCCCCAAAGGGGACACCCCACAGACTTGCATTTATAAAACGTTGTGAAATAACAAAATGCTTGAAATGGGGACAGATTAGGGGTTGCCAGAGGTTAGGGCACTGGGAATGGTAGTAGCAAAAGATAGGTGTGACTCTAAAGGAGAAACTCAGGGGTTCTTGTGGCCAGGGGCGCGTTTGGAATCCCGTGGTGGATACCTGGATCTACACGGCTGATACAATTTGGTATAGAAGTACCCACGCATGAGTTGAAGGAAGACCTTGGAAGTTTGATTAGGACCCGTGGAAGGCATCTATGTCGTTGATGTCCAGGTTGCCATAGTGACAGTCAGCCCTCTGTACCCCTGGCTCCCACATCCTCAGATTCAACCATCCACAGATGAAAAGAAATGGGGGGAAATATTGCATCTGTGCTGAACATGCAGAATTTCGAAGGAGCTGAGCAGCCCAGATCTCGGTGTTGCAGGGGCTCTGGTGTCTACCCAAGGGCGAGGAGGAGCCGCTGTGTGGTCCTCCTGCCTGTGCCCCATGTGCCCTGGGGCCATCTGGGCCAAGGAAGGGCAGTGAGCCCCTGGAGGGAGTGAGAGCAGCCCCCCAGGGGCACCAAGCAAGGACCTGGCTGTAGTTTTTGCAGAATGTTATCTTGGGGAAAACCAGGCCGAACAGGAAAGGAAGCCTCCAAGTTCTGTACAACTGCTTACATATTTTTTCAAAAAAAAAAAAAAAAAAGTTCAGTTAAAATAGAAGATCGCCACAGCCTTGTCACCCTGAGGAAGGCGGCGTGGCAGCGCCCTTGCAGGCCGGCCGGCTTGGGTGGACCAGAAAGCCCGAAGGCCCTCTTCTTGTGTCCCTGCTTCCGGCCTCTCCTTTCTCCCAGAGGGCCCTGGGCATTCTCACCCCGTGGAGTGGCAGTGTGGTCGCTGTTCCTCAGGAGACGGCACTGTAGCTGTCAGCCTGTAGCAGACACAGCAGGCCACTAGCAGAGGGAGGAACAGGCAACCGGGAGGCAGTGATATAGGGGAATGAAACTCCCAAGCTGAAAGATACCTGGGATGATGACTTCGTGTTCTCTAAAACCCACGAATGACTTTTAGGAACAATGGAGGTTAAGAGCTGAATATATTTATTAGGGGAAAGAAAGCTTCTGTCCGAGAGAGGAGCAGAAGGGGACCCAAGAGGGTTGCCAAGGAACCTGTCTTTTTCTCAGGATTTTTTTTCTAGACCTGGGAATTGAACTCAGGCCCTTGCGCTTGCCAGGGAAGCACGAATTTTACTGAGGTATTTCCCCGGCCTTTTCTGGGGATTTTTATAAAGCAAATTCCCAAAGTAAGGCAGGTCCAGGGTGTGGCCATGAGGTGGGACAAAACTATGGTCAACCAATAAGATTACAAACACAATTGCTCAGGTAAAATTGATTAAATCAGAATCAAACGGGGGAGCCAGGCCTGTAGCAAGGGGGCATGAATACAGCACAGGGGCTTTTCCTATAGGGGGCTGGGTTAGTGATTCTTTATGGCTCTTTTAAGGTGATAGAGACCTATTTAGAATATCAATCCCTGATGCTTATCCTTAGGGAAGTATATATTTGCATTTGTTTGATCTTTTGTCTTGAGGTCAGGCCCTCAGCGGGAGCGTCTGTCTCCCCAATTTGCAAGGTATCTGGTCTTCCCTACTGGCTCCTTTTGAGGGCCCGGCCCTGTCTGACTGCCTATAATATTTTTATCTAATTCAGATGCCTGCAACAGAAGTCACGGGCCCCTGTGTATAGCTGGCTCCACTTGCAAATCGCTCTCAGGGCCATCCTGCGCATGTCTAAAGCTCACAGGGGGTCGTTGTGCAACCAGAGAGTAGCGCGTGCAACTCTTACTTACATCTGCCTAAAGGAAGAACAGGAATTTGACTGGGGGAAGGGATCGAAAGATGGAGGTGCGGGCTGGGAGAAGACTCACCCGTAGAGAGCTTCATCAGTGCGTGTGAAGCCCCGGGCCCAATCCCCAACACCACATAAGCAGGCAGGCAGGCAAGCAGGCCTTGGTGGGGGCTTGGGGTGGGTCTCCATGCTTCCGAGCAAGCCTCCAGGTCCCTGAGCCGGCCTCAGGCTACTCAAGGACCTCTTCTCTTCTGCTTTGTTTTCCCTCTTCTAAAGCTTGTCTTGGGGAAAGAAATAGAAACACCAGGGCTTCGGAGATAGCTCAGTGATCTAAGCCCCTGCCTAGGCAAGTGCAAGAACCCGGGTTCAATCCCAGTACCACTTGCAGTGCCAGCCCTGCCCTGGGCATGCCAGCTGAGCCACCAGGATCCGGTGTGGTAGCGTGCAGCTGTACGCAGCTCTGGGGAGACTGAAACAGGAGAGTCACTGTCAACCCAAGTTGCATTATGAGACTCTGTATCAAATGCATAACATTAAAAAAAAAATAGAAACACCAATAAGAGCATTTGGCCACAAACGTGGGCTGGCTCTGGGCAAATGGGTTTGTCTCCCCACTGAGCACCCGGAAGAAACAACACGTGTGATCTAATTGGCATACCGCTGGCCTCTTGCCAGGCCTTCTTCTCCCTCTGGCTTCCATATCCTGTCCCCCAAATCCCATCTGCTCAGAAATGCACACACTCAGTCCCTGGAGCACCCGCTGCGTCCTGCATCCTGCCCAAGCCCTAGGGCACAGCTGTGCCCAACCTGGAGCAGGGACCAGGACGTGGACCCTGGGCATGAGCAGAGGCGGCCCAGCGGCAGCCAAGGGTGACAGGGAGGGACCTCGGGGAGCATCCTTGGAAACTGCAGAGGGGCATCTTCCTGACCCGGCTTTGATTTTTAAAACTGATGAAAAGTATGGAAGTGGGGGGAAGGGTGTAAGAAGAGTGGAGACACGCTCTGGAGGAGGGTGATCATTGAGCACCACAAACATGCGTGCACAAAACTGAAAATGTATGCACAGAAGAGCCGCAGGAAGCCGGGCAGAGCCTCCCACCTTTGAGGGCAGCGGCTGAGGCTGTGCTGCTGCTCTGATGCCCACCTGGGAAGTCGCTGCCCATCCAGATGAAGCCAGAGGATGAATGCTGTGCTGTTGGGGACGGGGGTGGGGTGGCAGGGGTGTGTGTGTGTGTGTGTGTGTATGTGTGTGAGAGAGAGAGAGAGAGAGACAGAGAGACAGAGAGAGAGAGATCACATCTCGGCTTAGCTTGCCCTATGTTCTCCACTTCTTAAGCAAAATCCACAGATAACATGTTTCAAAGAAAAACTTTGACCTATTTTCTAGATAGAGAAAGCTTGGTTCTCTGTCCTGTGACTTCAGCAGTCCAGCACACAGGGCCTGGGCTTCTCTCTGGAAACCCTGGCCCTTCTCCCCCTCCTTGAGCACATCAAAGGCTGGGAAGAGCCTTCCCACCGCGCCTTTGTCCTTCCTGCCTTTTTTCTGCGGCCAGCTCAGCTCAGGGGCGGCCCTGGCAGCACAGTGGCCCTAAGCCTGTGGCATGCGGCCAGGTCTGCAGCTGTCCGGCGTGCAAAGCCAGTGAAGAAGCTCTTGCATCCCTGCCTGTGGGGAGGGACAGTGAGGTCGGGAGTGGCCTGGCCTGACAGTGGCGGGAAGCACAGGCTGATGGGGCTAGGCCCCACAGGTCACTCCTAAGGGTTGCCGCTGCCGGCTGTCCCTTCTGTTTATGACACATGCAAGCAGCAGGCCGAGCGTGGGAGCTGCAGGAGCCCCGGGCCCAGCTTCGGTGCTCAGGGGTGCCGTGGGTGCAACCCGCTCTCTGGCCCTGTCCGCCCTGTGGTTTTCAAGGCTGGTTAGAACTTGCTGAGGTCCAAAAGTATGCATTACCCAATTGTTGTCTAGCAGCTGAGGGAACACCCGCGCGCCCCAGACGACGCCCTTGCCTGGCAAAGGCTTCAAGGCAGAGACCGCCCTAGCCCCTCAGAACTCTGTCATTTGTCCCAGCACCCTCCTCCGCCCGCTCTGGGCCTGACGACACGTGGTCTGCTGTCCGCCAGCAGGAGTTGGCCCTGGCGGCTGAATTGGGCTGCGCAGGGCCAATGCGCAGGACTTGTGCTTTCCAGTTTCCCTGGTCATCATTCTGCCATTAAGTTATTCATTAAGCCTAAAGGGTCGGGACACAGCTAAACAGGAGCAGCAGCCAGGACATCTCTCAGAGAACGTGACTGCGCCACAGCGGCCCGCAGCCAGTTTTTAAAATAATGCTGTTCTTGCCCATTGTAAGTTTCAAAGAACTTTTGTCTTACATTATACTTCATTTGTGGTGAGTGCATGCGTGCGTGCATGTGTGTGTGTACGTGTGCGTGCGTGTGTGTGTGTGTTGGTGCCAGGGATGGAGCCCGTTTCCTCAGAAACACTCAGTAAATGCTCGGCCACTAAGTTACACCCCTTATATTTTTGATCAGACTTCTGTGAACTCTAAAAGAATAGTAAGATGTGTAGTAGAGGAAGCCAGCCAGCGCAGTGGGGCCCGGGGGAACCCTGTCACCCCCGTGGCTGTGACAGGAGGGTCACTGTGAGCTCGACGCTATGGGCGTAGTGAGTTAGAGGCCAGCCTGAACTACGTAGTGGGACTGTCACAGAAAAGCCAAAAAAGAAAAACAAAATAGTTGAAGTCAGAGGAGAGCCTCCAGCTCCATGAATTTTCTCTCTCTCTTACTCCATCTGTAAAACTCGAAAATCCGTATTTTCACCTTCTAATAGGTTGCCCTCAGGGTTAGAGTCAACCAAGTGTAGCCCTCAGCCGTGATAAGCGCTTGGCTTATTTTGACAACTCACATTACTGGGAGGATTGAAATTACATAATCAGGATGTGTGTGATCAGGATGTGTCCTTTTATGAATATATACTTACTATTTTCACTTCGTATCTTAAAATGCCCGTGAAGTCTGTCTCTTCCAGCCAAAACCAAAAGCATCGCCTCGTGGGCTTTGGAAAAGCCCTGCAGATGGGCCCTTCCTCGGTGGGAAGGTGCGCCACTTTGCCAAGAAACCTGATTCTGACAAGTACAGGACGCGAATTGGCTTTATGATATTTTTATCCTCTTACCTTGGTAATTGCTTCAAGTTGTTTCCCTGCTGCTGGAGTGATTTGGGAGGCTAGATTTCGAGGCCAACGTGATGTAAAGGAAAGTCTGGATTAAGGACAAATGATGTCAAAGCCTGAGAATGTGAATACAAATCACAGTTAGGCTGGAGAAGTGAGTGCCAAAAAAAAAAAAAAGGCATATTATGCTATCATCGCACTTGAAAGACCCAGTGGGAAAAGGCTTGCTCGCGAAGGTGAGCGCTGGGCCAGAGAGCCGCACCTCTGTCCTTGGTGTGCCTGACCCCTTTG